AAGCATTTGTACAATCTTTTCCTGCTGTAAAAAGGAGCCGTGTCCCAAAGCTGGTGCAAGTGTGCATTGTCCCCTGAGCTGCTCCAGCTGAGGATCTGGCCCAGCGTACGCAGAACATTCTGCATCGTCTCTCCGATGCTTTTTCGATGCTGGGGTTTGGTAAAAGTACAAACCTTTCCCTAACAGGAGGAGCAAAAAGCGATTTTCCTTCACTGAGGATTTCCCCCCCCGCCCTGTATATTTTTCTTATCAAGCAAACCAATGGCAAGTCTATAGCGAACGCTTTCTTGGGCTATAAAATTTCCTATTATCCACTTATGTTTTCTTTGCAGAGGGATTTAAGAATGCCTCTTCCTTGAGATGAGCAATATGTCATCATTTTGTTGAACTAACAGGCCTGACAGTCTTGTCTCTCCGAGTTAAAGACACCAGTGCTCCGAGCTCGCATCGCTGCTAAAATGAAGGTGAAAAAGCTGGGAGAATAAAAAAATGAAGGGGGGGCGGGGGAAGACCTAACTGTGACTAAATCCTTTACTAATTCATATCCATTATTTATCATGCCGCAAAATAAACTCTATTAAAAAAAGACCCTTAAATTAAGGTCTCTTACGTTGTGAAATAACTAATTTGTATCCTTGGATTATCTATTTTAGCAAATAGCATCTTCCGTATCCCCCATTTCTCCTGTCTTTTTGATCTTTTTTTCTACTTATCATGTTCTTTATTTGAAACAGATTTTTAACAGATAATCTTGATCGTTATAACAATATCTTGCTTGCATTTTATTCAAATAATTCTTAAAAACAGCTTAAAAAGCCGTTTGGAATAACATCAAGCTCCCCATCAATCAAATGAAAAAATTCCGCTGGCGGTTGTATAAACATCAGATCAACTCTGATGTCTTCAAGGATTTCAGAGTGAACCATAAAAAACTCCATTAACTTCTGACAAAGAATGCAAATTAATCACAACATGGGGTGAAATGAAATTAAAGGCTCTTTTCTAATCAATGACAAGGCAGGATGAAATATTTGTTACTCTCCGCGTTCAGGCTGCCGGGATGCTCGTGCTTTTCCCGGCACATCCCAAACGCAAGGTGGGAGCGGGGATTCACCCGGGGTAGCTCTTTAGCCCTCCCCATCCCTACAGCTATCTGCTTACAAGTCGCCCAGATTCACAAAACACACTAATCATCTGAAATCTCAGGTGCATCCAATTTGTTATTCACACTCTCCCGGTGCCAGTGAAAAGCCTGGCGTAGACAGATGCACCAGGAACCTTAAATGACAGTTTTGGCCTCCGGAAGTGCGATCGCTACAGCAAAATCTAGTACAGCCTCCAGGTGAAATGTCTGGAGCTCCATATGGAGCAGGGAAAATTAACAACAAGATGAAAATCGCTGTAGCAGCGGGGAGCCTGGATTTAAAAAAAAGGGGAAAAAAAAAGGGGGGGGGGTAAAAGGGAAAAATTTAAAGATGAGGAAAGAGAAGTAATAAATTAATGGGGTGTGAAAACATTCAAAGCTTTACAATACCACGGGCAGTATTTGCTCAGATTTGGGGGGGGAGCAGTGGGATGGGAGGGGGCAGAATGGGGAAAGAGGAATTTTGGGTGGATTTTTCTTTCTAAACTTCAGGTCATTTCTATGTAATTTATTAAGCGAGGTGGAATTGCAGCTGAAGGAAGGGAAGCATTTCTCTAAATGCAAAAGTATCTTAAATACAGTCATCGTAACCCGCGCTCTCCTATAGCTGATTAAATCCTCACCAGCAGAGTACTGCTGTTTCTTTGGAATATTTCCCTAATGGATGCGATATCCTTTTAACATCCTGCTTTGTATAAAGTTTGACGACAAGCCGAGAATATTTAGTGAGCAATTCTTTTCATTTCTCCTAAATTGCATTATCATTAAACAAGTCATTGCCCCCATCGTGTTTTTATACCATAGACTGAATGTGAATCTCCGTGATTAACTGTACGTCTCGCGGTTGGTTCAGCCACCGCACATCTTTGGGCTTCCAACTTAAAACGTCATTAAATATACTGGGAGGTGCTATGGCCTTTGGGTTTGGTATTTTTTCATTTTATCCATTATTTCCCTCAGTTCTTTCTGCTCAGACACGTAAAATCAAAATCACATCAATTAAACTTTTTAAAAGGGTTTTGAAACTTATTTTCCCTATGTGCTCTCTTCAGATACCTAAGAAGCTGGACAGACCATGGACTAGCAACTGGGCTGGGGGAAAAGGGCTTCCTTTCATTTTTACATGCTTTTGTAGGAAAGAACTTTACTCAAAATAGTATTTTTTGTGTGAGTGCATGCACCATTCCTATTAGTTTCAATAGTTACGCAAACACACTGAGGGGAGAATATACCCTCAGGTGCTTACATTTGGATCTACAGAAAATCCTACGAGCATCACACCCTACCATTTCCAAAAGGGATTTTATATCACAGTAAGGATGCAATAGCACATTGCAATACCACGCCAGGAAAACGAACCACACACCACCAACATCCAGAACAGTTGTAGAATTTTACTACATTTTAAGGACTACAGATTCCTGCATAAAGTTTTTACAGTGAAAAAGTCTGTTCTGATCATCACTACCTGTGTTCTTGTACCTTTCACAGTCAGCTACTGATTACGAAGTTAGCTGCATATCAAGACAAGGAAATATGTACAGTAACTCTCAACACACCCATAAGCAACTTTACCTACAGGAGTAGTTGCTTGCACCTTAAATGCTTTCAAGGTAACACTTTGTGAACATAAAATTAAATCATGATAGTGTGATACATGTTAGCAAAATAAACACTTGCAAAAGATGTGGAAAATGAGAAGTGGCAAATTCTATCACTAAAATATCCCATTAAAGGCCAGGAAAAAAACAAAATCATTCTTTAGTCTTACTGGTGTATTGCAGGAGTCCTGATTTTCCACACGGCAATGATTCCTCCTCTAAACTGTACTCATTTAAACTGAATTTACACACATACCATTTGTGTCTTCAAAACAGAGAGGAAAAAAAACCCCAACTTATTTTTTCCAGCTACAGCTGGAGACAAACACTCATATATGGGAAATTTCAGGCGTTCCCAAACATGTTCCAAGACTTTCCACTGTCAGAGAGAAGTAACTTCAAGTTATTTAGGGACAAATTCTGCAGACACACACCTGATTAGCTTCATTCATTTGAATGAGCCCACTGAAGTGCGGAGGATTTGCTCAGGTGAGTGACTGCAGAATCAGGCCCTTATGTAGGGAGAGAAATAGATATTCAGACATTAAAAAACGCAACACACTACTAGTTTTCCCCCTAATCAGGGCAGGTTTCTATGGGTTTTGTGACCTGCAATCTAAGCAGATGTCTAAAATACATATTCTTCACATGAAAATCCTTATGAAAAGCAGTTCCTTGAAAAGCTTAATAGCTACATTTTAAAGTTTCACCTCCTCAACTGTTTTACATTAAAAAATATACACAATTTCATGGACTACTGACTTGCCAGATATTCTTTTGCAAACCCGATCCGTTTTGTTAATTAGAATAGCAAAAAGGATCTTAAACTAGCAATCATGCTTTGCTCCCAATTCAGGAAGCAAATTTTGGGCTAGAATCATACATAATGTATGTGCTCTAACTTCCTTTCCCAAGCTCCAACACTTCTGTGAACAGGGGGTTATCTCAAATTGTACCCCCCTGTCACTTGGATTTAGTGTCAGAATACACCAGCCACATGACTGTCAAGACACTCAACGCACACAAGTGAGTACGTCGATGGATGGAGGACACTTCAACACAAGAGCTTCTCTTCCAGCCCTCTCTTCAAAGGAGAGGGTGCAGTTTAAAATATGGATAAAATATGCAAAGTGTGTTCTGCCCCAGCCAGTAACCATTTTCTGTAGGAGATGAGCAAGTGAAAAATCCGTGTATTTCTACAGCTGCAAAACCTTTGCAAGTCCATAAAAGTGCCAGGAGAATTTGCTTAAAACAGCTTATAAAAATGGGAGAGAGAATGAGTCCCAGCCTATTATTCAATAACCATGTTTGTGAGGCATCTGCATAATCTAACCATGCATAAATTAGTATGTGTATTACAACAGTTATTTGCATAATAATAGCAAGTTAATAGATGCTTAAAGAGCACAGACCAACACCACCTTTAAATCAGACGTGCCTCCAGGCACTCTGATCTGTACAGACCGAAACTGCCTTCATAAAACACACAAAAACATAAAAACCACATTCAAATAATTCATTTTAGTCCCTGGACACTTCACTTTTTCCCCCCTCTCCCAGGAAAGAATAATTTGAGGAACTACGGAATAGTTTGTTACTATGAATTCTAACATCCATCTTGCAATAGGAATAGAATCACCAAACCTATTTCTGGATTGGTTGCTCTGTTAGAACTTCATGTTTTTTCAAGCATAAAGACAATGTAAAATACTACATGGTAATGCAGGGCTCACCACCATTGCCACTGATGGTGGAAGCAGTTTAACCATCAACTTCAATGCAATTGAGTTAGGTCAGAGGAAAGTTAGAAATGCCAGTATCTAAACAAAATACTAGTATTAGCTCCTCTTAAAATGGCGAACCCAAAGCTCCCTTAAGTATTCCATTCACATTATATTTTTGATTTGAGCAGATTTTAAACCATATTATTCAAAATTAAACTGTAAGAAGGAGCAGATACACCTCCCTGCTTCAAAAGCACTGGATTATTTTTTCATCTCGCACCAAAACAATCATTAACATCATCATAATTTTCATTGTCTCCAGGGAAAGAAAATCTAGATTTTGGAGAAGGGAAAAAAGAGAGAGAGAAAAAAATCAATAGAGACTTCTAAATGACTCCTTCAAGATACCACTTTTCAATTTAACAGGACAGATTTATTTGTATGTGGCTCAAATGTTCACAATTGCTCTCTGCACCTTCATACATAGGAATGAATGTCACAGTGGCAAACAGCAGTAATGAACAATCTTACCTGAGGATATGGAAACCTCCCAAGAGCAAGCTGGGAAAGGAAATAATATTTGTCTAGTTATATAGATTTGCATGGAGGGCACATTTTCTTAAAGAGAGAAAAGTACTCAACTCTTACTATTGTATAAATTGGAAAATGTCAACAAAAGTAATGCTGAAAACACACAAAAAGCTGTATTTAGAATGGAGTCATTCACAACCACCACCCCTTGTTCTATGTTTCTAAGTATTTCTGTATTTCTTGAGCTCTTCTGTCTATACCACTCAGTAACACCGTTTGATGCCCAAGTTCCTGAGGACTCTCTAAATTAAACCAGTTCAGCCTCAATAGCGAGGCCAACGACACTGACCTTTCCTGATAATTATCTGCAATGAACAGGTATTGTAGAGCATGCACTGAACTCCCAAAGTCCTTCCTTAACTGGCTCAGAGTAAAATCTGGGTTATACAGCTGAGGTTTGCCTCCTTATTGGTGTCAAACCCAGGTAGGAACCTGGGAGGGGGACCTGGAGAGAGATCACAGCACCTGCAAAAAGTTACTTCCACTTTTCTTCAGATCTTCTTTCAGCTGCACACAATATCAGCTGGATTTGTTGCCCACATTGTTTTGTAAGGCAATCAATGCATTACTAGAACACCTGCTAGTGTCAGTATTAACCCAACCACAATAGCACAGTTGTCATAATGCCATGGCTAATACATATTCCATAACAAATTCTTCATAGAACTTCAAGTTTTCCCATTTGGTATCTGAGGCTTGGAAACAATTTCAGCAAAATACAGCTAGTTTTTTGTCTACTACTCAGTGAAGGACAAGGGCTTTCAACGCTGACACAAACTCCTCCAAAAGGGCATTCAGAGTAGCTCTGTTCTGACCTGCTTTTGGCATAAGTCCACCTCTCTCCATGGTTTGCAGAGGAGCCATAGTCAGATGAGCTTCTCTACACCCTGGTTAACCTTGGTGAATCCTCCCCGCATCGCCTTCAGAAGGAAGCCTACCAAAAATGTTACGGATGCACTGCTACCATTGATTTGTCTGCATGATGAACTAAGTATGTTCACATGGGACTGAGGAACAGCATCGATGCTGAAGGTCCAAGCCATCGCGTCATGCACTGCACAGGTAAACCACACATCACTGCTGGGTGAAAGCTGGTTCCCAGCACTTCTATTGTCAATGACATTTGAGCTCCTCAGTGCTGAGGTTACCTGACCTGGTCAGATTGCAGGTAAGACAGCTGTGCTAACCTGTGATGAAATTTCAGCCTGGCTGGCAGCACAAACCTACCCTAAGTATGAACAATGAGGCATAGATAGAACTGTAGCAAGGTGGGGAATGAATGGATGGGGCAAAGACCAGTAGACATACTCACCAGTTCAGGAAAAAGGTCATGAGAAGGTAGTAAGAAGAAGCTGAGAGCATGCGTGGAAGCAACAAGATATCAGCAGAGATGATGCCCTTCCTGCCCCTCCAGCTGCTGTCCAAACCTTGTACCATACCAGCTGCTTGGCTGTGAGCCTTTGCAAATACACTAAACTTCTTCCAGATCCAAAAAGACATTACAAAAGCAGGGTAGGTCTTAAAGCATTTGTGTAAGAGATGCATACAAGAGAAACACAAAAAGATGAAACTATTTTTGGTGACTACTCTCAGAAGCTTCCACACTACTGAGAAGTGCTGACCAAGGATCCCTACTAGCAATAACATATATAGAATCATAGAATAGTTAGGGTTGGAAAGGATCTTAATATCATCCAGTTCCAACCCCCCTGCCATGGGCAGGGACACCTCACACTAAACCATCTCACCCAAGGCTCTGTCCAACCCGGCCTTGAACACCGCCAGGAATGGAGCATTCACAACAATATGTTTCTTTCCAAGATGTTTCTGCTCTGCCACTCATCTCTGAAAGCTGGGATCTGCTACCAGGCTTCCACGTGGGGATTGTGTGTTACTTGGTTTATAAGACCAACACCCAGAGAATGTACAAGAAATGTGGCTTACAAGAGACACTGGAACAGGGAACAACATTGAGGTGAGAAGACAAGATCTCTTCAGGTTCTCCACAGTGGTACTCCTTCCTCCTCTGGGTTTCTTCAGTGCTTTGTCTCTCAGGTTAGCCTTTTAAGACTCAACTCTTTGGGGTGAATTCTGCCTTCTGGTTTTGGTTCTGGTACAGTGCTGAGCGCAGTGCTTCTCTTCACAGCAAATTCATCCTCACAACAAATCAACCTGAGTTAAGCAGTTTGACCACCATCCTTTCTATTGCTCTTATCTGGTTCACAGTTTCTCCCAGCTCAGTGTTACTCCAGCTGCTCTCTGATGGCAGGCTTTGAAACACACTGCTAAATAATTAAGCCAAGATCCTATGTTTTCTGTTATGTTCAGTCTTAAGGACCAGCACCTACTAAAACATGCCCTTTTATTTATCTTCTTTTGGAAGGAGCATCTATAACTTGCAAAAAGCTGCTTGAGATCCTAAGAAGCACTGCTGCTGTGATAGCCTAAAGCGCCTAGAAATAAACCTATAAATGCCAAACACTTTTCTCTGAACAGAAACAGAAAAAATCCTGATTTTCCCAATGACAACTGACATAGGGATAGTCATTACAATAGCTACAGACTTGCAGGAATGTAAGTTATCCCACTGTAGAACAAGAAGATAACTATGGCTACACGCACAGGGCATCGTTCTGCACACCTTATTTAAGCAGAAAAACGACCACAGCCTCACTGATGACTTCAAACTAAGCGTTCTCATTCTCACTGATGATTCTTCCCCTCGACCACCACACACCTCAGCAGGGGCTCCAAAGGCAGCAGAGTAATTGGGGAAAGAGCCGTTTTGTGCCAGACGTAAGCGCGGGGTGCACAAATGAGCTCAGAAGAATCCAACACGCATCGGGAGCAAGTTGTAAAAAGAAACACGTTTCTCAGGGAAGCTGCTCCTCGACTGAGAGCTGCAAAGTGACACAGCCCCGGACAGCTCATGTGCCAGTTCCGCATCCCCTGAACCACCACTCGCTTCAGCTTGTCAGAGTTGTTTCCTCCCTGCAAGATTGTCAAGGTATTATAAATTAAGAAACTTAGCAAAGAGTATGTAATCTTCCCTGAAATAGCCTGCAGATATGTCACTGTACTAAATGTGTTTCAGATTTAATGAAGCTTTAATGTCCTTTTTAATTTTGCCTGTTTCTGTATCACCAGGGGTCGAGCAAGGCAATCAGCACTCAAGAGGGTGGTTTGGTTTAAAACTAGGAGAAACTCATTTGCTTATGAGTTGCACTGTATTTTCTTAATTAAATTTACTAAGTAAAATGGTTTAAGTTCAGCCAACCAATGACCTCTGTGTGTAGATTTAGATTTATAAATAGTGTCACACTTAAAGTAAAGAAAAAAACACCCCAAAACAAACAGATTAGAGCTTCACTAAAGGGATTTTCATACTTTATCATCTGTCTCAAGGAAATCATCTAAACATGAGCAGCACAAGCCCAACGCAGGACACAAACAATTGTAAACTACCAAACTAATGCACTATCAAACACTTATCTCCTCTGCATTTATATGTGATGACACTCAGGAACTTGCAATTTTAAGGCATTATAACAAAAATACCCAGTATTTCCGTTCAGACTATTTCAGTTTGGGCACTGAATGGTATTTTATGTAGCTCTGGATATTAAGGAGCAGAATAGGGAACTTAAACTTCAAGGAGCTGGTTCTCATTTCCTTATGGATACCTTCCCAATACATAAGAACAGCAAAAACCATCATTTAAACAAGGCCCAGTCAACTGCAATGCCAGCATGGTATGGAAATATAAATGAGAATCAGACCATATCAGCAAGAAATATGCCAGAATAACACTTTCCTACACCATTACATCTCAGAGCAACTACCTGCCTGCATAGGGTTTTGTAGGGAGGGTGGTAGTGCATGTAATTTTAACTATTACTTTCTTAGACACAGAAGCAGCCCATCAGAACACTTCAACCACTCATTTTATGGTGATTTTTTTATCAAACTATACCTAAAACCACACCAGGAAGAGGAAACATGAAGCAGCCGGTTTTGGTTGAGGCAGGTGCCTAAACCCCTTGTACGGGGCAGCTGTAAGAAGGGCTGGAAAGCAACTTTTAACCTCAACTACATACATCTAATGTGAGCACAAAATTAAAATGACTTGGTCAAATAATGTAATGAACAGTTTTAGAACTTAAAATGGAAATCCAGGAATCCTCACTGACAAACTGCTCGCTCTACATCCCTCTTGACTTGCTTGACCATGTAAGAATTACAACAGTGACTTGGTCCCTATCCTGTTCAGAAAGTGACAGAGGGAAAGAAGTTCAAAGCATATTTTTAGGACACTCAGGCAATAAAACCTCCCACTTATTGTCGATGTTGTACAAGTTGTTTTTTAATTTACAGTTACACTGAAAAGCATGGGATGGTTTTAGCCTTAATTTAGACACATTCCATGTTTCTCAGCATAACTGCAAATTGAAAATAAGCACTTACAGTATCGCAATGATCCAGCTGAAGGAGGACTTTATAGTCTGAAATGTTCTAAACTTTGTTCTTAATTACCTTGTGCACATTGTACACAATTAAATTTCCATCTCAGGATTTTGCATTTAGATGGTGCACTGCTGTTAAACCCTCGTCTTGTGGAAAAGCAGCCGCCACTCGGAACATTCAGACACAGGAAACTTTAAAAATCAGACTTAACTACTGGATAACATAAAATTCCCCAGGTGAAATTTCATACCAAGACCAATTTATACATTCCTAGATAGATGGCTTAAAATCACCTGGAACTCTGCAGGGTATGGACCTTAATAAATATTAAATACCTCAAAAACTACTCTAAGATTGTTTTTTCCTTCTAATATCAATTCCAGGGTCCTCTTATTGCACAGTTAAAAAAAAAAGAATCCAAAAGGATATAACAGCAATTTACCAGCGTTAAAGTGCTGCTGAGGTTAAACCGACAACAAAGAAGAACAGAAACACAAAGCATCTTG